GCGCTGGCCCGGAGCTGCGAGCTGGATCCCAGGCGCTCACTGTCCCAGGCCCGGCCCTCGGCCCGGAGCAGCCAATGAGCCCCGGTCTCCCCCGACCGGGGGGCCGGGCCGGGCCAATGGGAGGCCGCAGTAACGTGACTCCTGGGGCGGCGGGGGCCTGAGCCCGCTAGGGGCATCCCCGGGACTGGCCGGGGCCAGACGGCGCGAGGGGCCCCGGCAGGGGGCCGGCCCCTCCAGCCCTGGGCAACCAAGGCACAACGGGTATCAACCCCCCCAAGCCAGAGCACCATGGACACACCAGCCCCGGGCACCAGCCCTCCAGCCCTGGGCACCGTGGGCACTAGCCCCACCCAGCCCTGGGCACGGAAGGCACAAGCCCAGTTGCAGAGCGCTGGGGGGTGGGCGCGGGGGACAGGCAGTTGCAGAGTTTTGGGAGGGCTCTGGGTGAGTGGGGGCTTGGGGTGAGCATGGGGTGTGGGGGGAGGAAGCCTGGGGGGGGCAGGCATTTGCAGAGCTCTGGGTGGGCGGGGGGGCTGTGGAGGGTGGATGCGGGGCTGGAGTGCGGAGGGGACAGGCAGTTGATGGGTGGTGGCTGGTGCTCGGCTGGAATCTCTGGGCAGTCCACACAGAGGGTGCCCCCACTGGGCGTGCTGAGATTGCAGGGACAGCTGATGGCAGACAGGGCCTGCGCTAGGTTTTTTGCAAAAAAATTTTTTGGCTGCTCCCCACCCCAGCCCTGGACTCTCACGTCCCCACCCCCTGCTGCCCCAGCCCTGGGCTCTCTCTTCCCCCCCTCCCCACACACACCCTGCTGCCCCAGCCCTGGCCCCCGCCCCCACCAGTGGTGACTCCGCCCGCTCCCCCCTCGCCTCCAGCCGGTCCGGCACTGGCAGGGTCGGGGTAAGCAGCGGGGCTCCTGGCCCGCGCCTCAGCCCAGGGTCCCTCCAGCCAGGGCTCCCGCCTCCAGGACCGTCTGGGACCCAGGAGGGCAGAGCCGGGGAATCGCCCTGGCAGGGGGCTGAGGAGCCGGGGCAGGGTAGCTCCAGAGGGAGTGGAGCCCCGGAGAGCGGGACCTGGGCCCCACGGCAGCACCCTGCCCTCTATGGCCCTGCTGCTGCTGCTGCTGCTTCTGGCTGCCCTGCTGCAGTCCCTGGACAGCTTGGGCCACTTCGCCCAGCCCTGACTGCGGGGCTGGGGGGCGGCCACCCTGTGGCACCTGCAGGCGGCTCCGTGTGCCCCTAGGGCGGCCCCCAGTGAGTGTCCCCCTCTGGGAGCCTGCCCAGCCCAGCCACAAGGTGCGGCACTGCTCCCCCGCGGCACGAACTGCAGCGGTCCCAGGGCGCCCCCCGCGCACAATGCGCTGCTGCTGCCAAGGCTGGCTCTAGGCTTTTGCCGCCGGAAGCAGGGCCGGCTCCAGGCACCAGCCGACCAAGCATGTGCTTGGGGCGGCACCTTGTAAGGGGTGGCCAATCTTGGGGTAGTGGGGGGCGCTTGGGTTTTTGTTGTTGTTGTTGTTTTTGTTTCGGCCGGGCAGCACTCGGGGGGTGGGTTGTTTGTGTTTCGGTGGCATGGCGTGGCACAGGGGGGGTGGTGTTTCAGCGGTGCAGTGCTCTTTTTTTTTGTTTGGGGCGGCAAAAAAGTTAGATCCGGCCCTGGCCGGAAGCAATCAATCAATAAATAAATAAATAAAAATGGCCAGAATGCTACCCTTGAAAATGTGCCACCCCAAGCACGTGATTGGTCTGCTGGTGCCTAGAGCCGGCCCTGGTCACAGAGGACCAGGCTGCCCCCTTTGGGGGAAAAGAGGGGCACTGTGTATGCAAATCGCTCAATAAACTAGTTTGCATTTTGGCAAATAATTTGCATATTTGTATATAACCCTAAACTCCGTTTAAAATCTGTTGGTTTAGTTCCGGCAAGCCCCTCCTGCCACCCAGTTGCCAGACTGGCACCCCTGAGCTGGGGGAACTGCAAGGCCCTTCACAGCCACAGCACAGAGCTCCCCACACCTGCGGCAGCAGTAGACCATTGTCCTTTGTGCCGAGCAGGAGAGTGCACAACCTGCCTTCTGCAAACACAAATGTTTGCTAGAATGTTGGAGCCAGGACTCCTGGGTTCTGTCCCTGCCCTGGGAGGGGAGTGGAGAAAAGGGGGAGTTCTATTGGGTTGGGGGGGGTGGTTGGGAGCCAGGATTCCTGGGTTCCATCCCTGGCTTTGGGCATGGAGTGGGGATCTTGTGACCAGAGCAGTGGTTCAAGCAGCATAGCCTAGCCCGTAGACATGGCACCTTCATTGGACAAGGCGGCAAGGCCACAGGGCAGAGCTGTGGGGCTGGTTGGGGCTGACCCTGCCATGGAGGGCTGTTTGCAGGCTCACACTGGGCTGTCCTGCTCCATGCCACTCCCTGAGCTCGCCGTGCCTTTGTCCTGGGGTGCCCTGGCATGGCAACAGCACGTATTACAGCCCATCAGCCAGAGGCCCCTGCTTAGAGCCCAGGCCCCATGCTACTCTGGGGCAGCCCCATGGAGCTACTGGCGCCCCCCACTGGATAGAAGTTTACACAGCAGGATTTAAAGCAGTGGTCCCCAAACTTAATTTGTTGCAAATCCCCCTCCCTTTGGTTGTACTGTAATCTGTCTCTGCCCCCCAGGGGCTGGGAGCCAGGAGTCCGGCTATGGTTGGGGGCTGAGGTCAGGGACAGAAGCCGAAGCGGGAGCCTTGGTTGGGGGTGGGGCATTTTCCTGATGTGTTTCCTGCGTCCAGTCCTTCTGGCCTAAGGTGCCAGCAGTCTTCTGCCTGCAACAACTCCCTGGCTTAGGGGTCCCTGGTTCAGCCCCCAGTTCCAGCTCCCTCCCAGGGCGCGAACGCCAACCCCTGCTCCCTCCCAGTCCCTACTCTCTCCCAGCCCCTGGCCCCCAAACCCTGCTCCCTCCCAGCCCCCAGCCCCTGACCCCTGTTCCCGGTCAGCCACTGGCCCCCCTGTGATGCTCTGTACCTCAGGGGAACACCCAGCACCCCCGTGTTCATCCTTGTAAAATGATTGTGTGGTATCTAAGGCAAAGTTTGTAGTGTTCGGTGTCTTCAGAAGGCTCATGATCCACTGAGCATTGTTGTTATAGTGATGTTGTAGGTTATAATTTCATATATATAGTTATGAGGCTGAAAATGTGTCCTCGTGGCTTAAAATAAGCCCAAGCATAAACTCTCTAAGAACAGAGGGGCAGTTCACACCGCATCAAGGCATGTATAGGACAAACCCAGCCCGGCCTCACAGGAACAAAGGACACTGGCCTAGGCAGCAACAAAGGATCTGTTGGACTCTCAAGTGAGATTTGTTATGCTTTGATTTATAATCACTTAACATTTATCTTTGCAGTTAGTAAGTCTGTTTGTTTATTCTAGCTGAAGCAGTGCGTTTGGTTTGAAGCATGTCAGAGACTCCCCTTGGGATGACAAGTCTGATACATATAAATTTCTTTGTTAAATTGACGAACTCATATAAGCTTGCAGCGTCCAACAGACATAACTGGACACTGCAAGACGGCGGTTCCTAGGGTTGTGTCTGGGACTGGAGATATTGGCTAGTGTCATTCGGTTGCACAATCCAAGGAACAGCTTACATGCCAGAGGCTGTGCGTGAACAGCCCAGGAGTGGGGGTTCTCACAGCATAGCAGGGTAAGGCTGGCTCCCAGAGTCAAGGATTGGAGTGACCTAGCAGATCACTGGTCCAGATAACACCAGGGGAACATTACAGTGGCACAGTGAGCAGGGTATATGTGCAGCTTGTTACTCCAAGTGGAGTTTACATTTTAAGCACTGATATTTGTGATTTTAAGTGAGTCTTAAGTGCAGTGGCTAAGAACAGTCAGGAGGAAGTCACAGTTTTGTTATTTTCTGTGTGCTTATTTCGGGAAAGGGAAGTAGGAACAGAAAAACAGGAAAATGAGTGAAAGCAGTGAAGCAATTGCAAAGTTTGGGCTTTTTGGAATGAAGTCTGCAGAACAGAAGAGGGAGCACCAGACATTATTGTAGCTGAAAGAACTTGAGAGAAAAGGAAAGGAAAAGAGGCAGCCAGAGAAGAGGCTGCATACAAAAGGGCCATGGAAGAAAAAGAGAGAGAGAGAGAGAGAAAAGAAAAAGAAAGAGAGAAAATACACCAACTGGACCTGCTAGAGAAGCAGAACCAGAACCCCCTGACTGCAAAAACTCCCATCAATCCAAAAATCCACAAATGGGAACATTTATGTCCTGCATACAGTGAAGATGATGATATTGCTGAATATCTGACTACTTTCGAAAGGCTGCATGTAATACATGAAATCCCTGATGATAAGGGAGTTCCTACCCTGATTGCAAGATTAACTGGTAAAGCTTGAAATGTATTCAATGGAAAGCCTATTGGAGATGCTTTAGACTATTGTAAATTTAAAGATACTGTTTTGTGAAGTTTTCAGATTACCCCTGAAACATATAGAGTTAAATTTAGGAATCTTAAGAGGGATATTGGTATGAGTAATAGGGA